TTTTTTTTTTTTTTTTCTTTCTTCTCCCTCCCCATTTTGTGCGGGGCAAGAGGCAGAAGAATGAGCTAAAACGTGCAAATTTGACTTCACATGGCAAAATTCCCCTTCTTTTCTGGCATGCCCTAAGCAACAGCGAACTTTTCCAAAGAGGAATCTAACACAGTCCTTACAGGCATCCCAGCCCTCCCCCTGCTCACTGTCCGGCCGTGTTAACCCTTACTGTTTAGGGGTTGTCGGGGTGCACCCCGGCACAAGGCAAAGAATCACTGCGGTTTTAAACCTCGCCCAGGGGCAGAGGGACAGGAGAGGAGGGCAGGGCACCCTGCACACACAAAGGCCCCTTCCCGGGCCCGGGCGGGCGACAGTAGCTCGCTGGCAGGCAGCCAGCCATCCCCTGCTGCGCTCACCTTTGGAGCGCACGGGTGCCAGGGCTCGCAGCCCGCCCGCTGCCCGGGCACCACCACATGGGGGTCCACACCCACAGCACACGGTACAGCCCCTAAGGTCAGGCCCTGCTGACTCAATCCTCCCGCTTCCTCCCCAAACTCACAGCCCTGACCTCTCCCATCCAGACTCCCCGCAGCCCAGGCTGCCCTGCAACCCAACGACAACCACTTTGCTGCTTTTTTTTTTTGTTTTTTTTTTCTTCCTTAAACCGTGAGGATCTGAACTTCCCCCCCCACACACACACCCCCCCTCCGGTCCTCGGCTTCCCCTTCCCCCTCCTCCTCCCCTTGTCTCTCCTCATAATATTATCCTTGATCACTGCCCGGGGTTTGAAGCCCAGAAGTCAGGAGCTGCGCACCCCACCCCCACGGCCCGAGCGCGCACTGATAGGGCCCTCGCTGCTGGCACCTAGTCAAGCTGAGGTGTCATTGGGATCTCAAATTGCAGCGAGGGGCTGGCAGGCAGCCAGAGGCAGTCTATTTAAAAGACAGCCTGTTCTGCAGTATTCAGTCTCTTTAGAAACTTCTCCAGGGGAAAAGTGTTGGGAGATCTACAAAGTGGATTTTTTTTTTCCTCTCTTTTTCCCTTCCCCCTGATTTTTTACCGCTCCTCTGCCGACTTTGCAACAAAACACTCCAACTTTGCAGAAAACTTTTTTTTTTTTTACTCTTTTGGTCTTATTTTTTTTTTCTTTGCAAATCTTGGAAGAGGAAAGCGGGAGAGTTGAACAGAGCCGATCGAAACACAACTTTGCTTCATACCAAGCTTCCCAGCAGCTCGCTGCGTCGGGAGAGACTTTTCCTCCTGCAGAAGAAGAGGGAGGGGAGGGGAGCTTTTGCATCCCCTCTTCCTTCTCCTGCGTTTTCTTTTTTTTTTTTCTTCTCCTCTTGACTGCTTTGATGCGTTATTAGCAGGACACTGGTTTTCAAGGAACTTTGCTCCCTTCCCAACCTGCCTCCTCCCAGCCCTTTGGGAAGAGAGAGAGAGAGTGTGTGTGTGTGCCTGAGTGAGTGTGCGAAATTGCCGTCCCACCTCCCCAAACACCCCTGCTCCCCCACGCCTCCCCCTGCAACCTGTAGGCTCTGCAACCCCTGCAGGCTTAGCTCCCTTTCCCCCCTCCTTCCCTCCCTCTTTTTTGCGCTCCCGCGGATCGCGGTGCGAATTCCCCCTTCCGAGGCGAGAAAAAGCTGAAAGGAGAAACGGGGGGGGAAAAAACAAAAAAAAGACAAAAAGAGGAAATCTAGACATCGCCCTCTCCCAACGCCAAAAGAGAAGCAGGAGGGTCTCGCACCCCGAGAATAACCCCCAGAGTGGGGCGCCTCCAAACAGGGGCTGCGCTTTCCTTTTCGAATTTTATTTTTTTTTTTTAGTTCTTTAATTTTTTAGTTCTTTAATTTTTTTTTAATTTTTTTTTTTGACCCCCGAAGGGGCAAGCGGAAAGCCAGCGCCGCCCGCTCCCGGCAGCCCCCCGCGCCCCGTCCCGCAGCATCCCCGCCGCGATGCTGCTGCGGCTCCTGGTGCTGCTGGGCGCCTGCCCGGGGCTGTCGCGGTGCCTGGGTTCCTTCGTGCAGTGCGAGCCCTGCGATGCCAAGGCGCTGTCGCTCTGCCCGCCGCCGCCGCTGGGCTGCGAGCTGGTGAAGGAGCCGGGCTGCGGCTGCTGCCTCACCTGCGCCCTGCCCGCCGGGCAGCCCTGCGGCGTCTACACCGAGCGCTGCGCCCGCGGGCTGCGCTGCCTCCCGCGCCAGGGCGAGGAGAAGCCGCTGCACGCCCTGCTCCACGGCACCGCCGTCTGCCTCAGCGAGAAGAGCTACCGCGAGCAAGCCAAGGCCGGTGAGTGACCCCGATCCTCCATCCGCAGCTCTCCCGGATGCTTAACCGCCTTGCCGTCTCTTTTTCCATCTTTCCGTCTGCTTTTTCCACCCCACCGCCAGCTCCCGGCTGCGTTTTCCCTCGTTCCGGGTGCTCTTCCACGACCCTCCTCTTGCTTTTCCGTCTTTCCGGCTCCCTTTCCATCTTTCCGCTCGCTTTTCTGCTCCCTCCCACTGGCTGCTCTTCCCTGCCCTTGCCGCTGCTTTCCCATCCCGCCGGCTGCTTTTCCATCTTCCCAGGTGCTGTTCCATGCCCCCACTTGCTTTGCCGCCTTCCCGTCTACTTTTTCATCTTTCCGCCCGGTTTTCCATACTCCCCCCTCCCCCCCCTGCTCCCGCCGTGTGCTTTTTCGCCTTCCCGGCTCCTCCATTCCCCTGCACCACCACCAGCTGCTTTTCCAGCTTTGTGGCTACTTTTCTGTCTTTCTGCCTGACTTTTCTCTTTCACACAATTACACACTCCGGCTACTGTTCATCTTTCTAACTATTTTCCCATTCTCTCTTCTCCCCACCCCCTCCACAAGCAACTTTTCCAAGCCCCCGGTTGCTTTTCCATCTTCTCTGTCTGCTTCTGCACCACCACCACCACCACTTCCCTAGCTGCTTTCACCCCCCTATTACTTTTCCACCTTTCCAGCTACTTTCACGTCCTTCTAGCTGTTCTTACACCCACACCCACAGTTGCTTTTCCATCTTTGTGGGTACTTTTCCACCCCCCTAACTGTTCTTCCATGCCCCCTGCAACTTTCTCCCATCCTTCTTTCCTTCTGTGCTCTGGTCAAACCTCCTGTTGCATCATCTCACTGCCTCCCCCTACCCTGCCTTCCATCGTCATCTCTTGATTGTCCCATCTCCAGTGAAAGGGTTTTCTTTTCCCACTTCCCAGATGCACCCTTTTAGTCACAACTGCATCCCAGTCCTTCCTCAATTGCATCCTTTACATCTTTTCTGCATCCCTGTCTTCAACCCTCTCCCTGACAACTTCCTATCACCATATCCCCCACCTTGCTCTGGGGCCTGAGCTGATCTCTGCAGATTGAAGTACAGAGGAGAGCAGGGCATCTCCTTAAAACCAGCAGCCCCATTCCCAAAGTCCTCAGCCACCCCCAGGTTTGTTGCTCTGCCTCACACTTCCTCCTTGGAATCACTACAGCCTGCTCTTTCTGTCTGCCAGCTGCTGGACATCTTTGTTGGGCGATGGGCTTTAGCTTGGGGAGATGAAGAGAACAGGTGCATTAGAGACAGGATATTTGTTTGCAAAAAATAATGGTGGTGTGGCTAATAATGGGCAAGAACAGGTTAAAAGCAAGCATGAAGGCAAGTATAGCAGCACCAGTACAAGGCCAAGCTTTTGAAATGTTTGCACCTTGCACGTGACAAAAGCATGAAAGAAAGCACTCCTTCATTTTGACAGTCATTTCACTCCCATTTCTGGATCCTGTAGCTCATGTGAGGACAGATTCCCTATGTTCCTCCAAATACATCTGTATTTCTGCCACGCTGTGAAGGGGAGGTAAGGAGGGTGTCTGTACGTCTGGGGGAGCCACTTGGCAAAAAAACCCCAAAAAAACAGAAACCCTCACTTTCTTTGGTCCATGAAACAGTCATTTCTAGTTGTTAGCGGGCGTCTGCTTATACCCTTGCAACGGGAATCCGTTTCTCCTTTCTAGCACCTAATAAATCCTGATGCTTTTATTATTTTTCCCCTTTGCTGCTTGCAGGCAGTGGTTGCGTTGCTACGCACCATCCTTCAGAGCAAAACCGAATTCTGTGTGGAATAACTTCCCCGTTCCCTCGAATGACATCAGATGTCCAAACTCCCTTTAATCAGCCAGAAACAGCAGAGCTGAGCTTGGTTTTCTGAAGGGCAGCTGTTAAGGATGAGGGTTGGGAGCCAATCTACACAGGGAGCAGAGGTGAGGCCGGGAGCCACATTCCTGCCGTGGAGCCCAGGAAGCTGGGCAGTAACCACTGTCAGCAGAGATAGGCAAAGTATCCCGGAGCTCGTCATCCTGGTGTTTATTTACTCTGCACGTGTGTGTGCATGGCTGGGGGCAGGCAGTGTGGTCGGGAATGCAAAGCCATGCAGCTGAAACCCAGCAGGAGAGCAGGGCCCATCCCTGAGCCTGAGCTGAGGGTGCCCCATACAGACACCTGAAAAAGTTTTGGCACTTGGCTCCCAGCATGAATATCCTTCCGTTTCACCTGCCTCGCACTTCCCAAGGAAACTGGTCCTTCAGCAGCAGCAGGTGCTTTGTGTGAAAACTTTAGCTAGGTCCCTTGTCATTCCGCTGCTTCTGATTTTCTTGGGATGGGGAACGCCTGTTGAATGAACAAGGAAAGGGACAGGAAAGTGGTGGCAGGTTTGTTGTGCAAACCGACCCCCTGGCACTACCTGCGCTTCCAGCTTGGACTCCCCAAGTGCTGCGGGGGCCTCTTTTCAACAGGTTTTGTTCGCAGACAGCAGATGAGCCTGGATTGGAAAGGCTGCTGAAAGAAGCCACAGGAGACCAGCAGGCTCCTCTTGAGATTTATGCAATTGCAAAAAATAAATAAAAAATAAATCAGGAATTCCTGAGGATGGGAGAGGGGGGGAAAAAAGTCACTTGGCATTTGACTGGTTGGTAGCGTGTGAGAACAAAGTATATTTTCATAGGCATGTTTCTAAGCAACAGGGCAAGAAAAGAAATGAAGTTTGACTTGAACTTTCTGGCCTCTGCCAGTTTGGCCAGCAGTACAGGGACCGTGCACTGGGGAAGCTGGCCTGGCCCTCCCATTTATCAATGACCAAAATTGGCCCTGAGCAGCAAACTGCTGAGAAAAAATCAGCACTTGGCAAAATAAACTATGTGACAGTGGTGAGGACTAGATCAAACTGCATTTCTATCTATTTCTGCCCTTATGCTGGCCAAGTTTAAAATTGCAGATGCTTTCCTCCTTATGGAGAAGGTAGAAATGCATTGAGCAGCACTGCAAGAGCCAGAGTCTGGGCGGCCAGGCTTAGCTCTCCTGTTGAGCAGATATCTTGCCCGGGGGCAAGAATACTCCAGGTACCATACCTCAGTTTCCTCACATGTATGCTGGTCACAGTGGTACTGAGGAATGCTAGAGGTAATGAGCAGAATGTCCTCCTGGTATGTTCAGAGGTCTGAAATGAAAGCAAGTGAGGGATTAAAGAGCCCTAGTAGGAGTTGTTTTAAGTAGATGGGTATGTAGGTACTGACAGGATGGTCCCTGTAGTCCTTCCTCCCACAACAGTCAGACACTGTCCTTTACTAAAAGCCAAACATCACGTCTACAATTGACTGTTCCTGGTAAAAAAACATGAATGAGCTTCATTTATGGCACAGGCTGCAGGATTCTGGGTTTTCTCTGTTTTGTTTAGGTTTCCTTTGAAATATACCCTGTCTTTTCCATTTTTCTCCCCTGTGCTCCTGCCAGACTTCCTCCTGCTGAGACAGCAAGGTCAGGCTGAGCACCAGAGAGTGGAGGGTACAGATTGGAGCCTGCTGCCCTAAAAAGGCTCATGGAAAAACAAAGGTTGTCAAATATTTCCTTCTCTCTCATTCCTGCTCTCTTTCTAGAAAGCGAGCAAGACTTGGCAAGTTTCCTCATGAAACCGTGAGCCAACGATAACCAGGAGGGGAAAGGGCGGGAGGAGGGTGTGCAGAATTAGCCCTAAGAAAACCATCTTTGCTGTGTCAGCAGAAAGGTGGAGGAGGAGGAGTGCTGCCGAGTCCAAATTTTCTGTAGCTTGTGTTTGGTGCTGTCCTTTATTGCTCCCCAGCATATTTCCCCCCACCCCATTCCCCCTTCCTGTACTCGCCTGCTCTACATTTGGGGATGCTGGGTTTCAGGGGTGAGCAAAGGGAATGTGGCGAGGCAGGTGGGCAGCTCCATGCCGAGGTCCGGGGTGAGGGTTAGGGCAGGGGTCATGGGAGCAGGTCGCTCGGGATGCGCTGGCTTGTGCACATGTCACTCTGGGAGGGACCCGGCTGCTGCGAGCGGCAGGTCCATTGTGCAAAGCAGCTCCGAGCTGTCAAGGTGAAAGCTAGTATCAACAGGCCTGCAAAACCTCAGACACAAAACAGGAAAATCTCCATTTCTCTTTTGATCTGGAGTTTCAATAACAATATACTTAGAAAAAAAAATAAAAAAAAGCGAATGAAATATCCATCAGGTGCCAGCAAGAGAGCTGGGTTTCTGCGGTGTGTGTGTGTGTGTGTACGGGGGAGGAAGGGATGGGGTGGTTCAAACAGGAAAGGAGGGGCCTTGGCTGGAAGGATTTTTCGGCAGCCTGGTTTCTAAGGAAGGAGGGAGAATATTAAGTAGTTGATCCAAATGAAATTCCTGCCGAGTGCCAGCAGAGTTCACCGGAGAAAAGACGTGGCTCTGTGCGTGCGTGCGTGCATGAGTGATAGAGCTGGCCCCGAGCTTCCACGCGGCCCTGGACCCGCTCCAGGTCAGTGCAGGGAGCCCTCCAGAGCTTGCACCACCACAGCGGAGAGCAGGGACTGCACTCAGACAGGAGCCTCTGCAAACTTGAGGGATGCTGGAGGAGGCCATTGTGCCTCCTTGTGTCATACTTAAGCAGCAGCATCCTGAGCCCAGCTGATCGTCGCTGCTTTGGCACGTCAGTGACATGAGCACAGTCACGTGCGACTGGGAACGTTTGCTTCACTGCGACGTGTCTCCTCAGGCTTGACGAAAAAGGGGTAGGAAAGACGGGGTACCTTCTGTGTCAGCTTCAGGACATCCCGCAGTGTCTTCTGTCGCTTATCTGGCCACACGTGCCCGGGCAGGGGGGACGAGCAGAGGCGGCAGCCGCGCACGGAGCGCGGTGCTCTGCCTCCTCCTAACGACCGCAGCCGGCAGCTCTGCTCGCAGCCGCACATGCAGGAGCAGCTGCGGGAGCTGCTACAGCAGCAGCAGCAACAGCGTTTCCCAAAACTCCTGATGCAA